CTTAATTGCTTTGTAGGTATAAATAGGTTTCTCTTTGTAATTAGTGGTAATGAACTTTCATTTGTAATCTTCTTGGAATTTGAATACAATCTACTTTTGGCAAGATTCTCTTAAGTGTTCTTATTTTCCAATTTGATTGTTTGAAAATATGATTGAAGACTTGGGAATTACAATTAGGGATATGTTAATTTTTTTTTGACTTAATCAATAGTTTATCTATGAAAACTCTCATGGCTCCTCCTCTAATGTTGAACAAGGACCCAGATAGGAAACCTGTAAACGTTACTGGTGTTGATGGATCTATATCCTCAAAAGGCTATAATAACAAGTAAATCATGCAAGTATACATGGCTTACAAGTATCATCCAAAGCAAGTAATAATGGTAAGTAATACCAAATATCGTTCAACAGAGATTTAATATGCAAAGAGAGTCACAAAAGTTAACTTTAAAATAAAATTTCAGAAAAGGGTTTTTGGAAGCAATAAAGCTTCAGAGAGAATAACTTTGTGAGAGTTGGTGACCAAATACTAAACAATAATTAAAGGACAGTATGGATGCAAGATCAGGTTGAATTTCAACAACAAAGTGTAATTAATATTGCTCTACAAATAGCTATTTACAACACTACTAGATTGAATGGCCTTCCAAGGAAGTGCAGATTAGACCATATGTTGGAAGTCCACTTGGTGATGCATCAATCCCAAACTAGTACAAATGTTGCCTTTGTCTCCATATAGTTTTGCAACTCATAAGATTACAGTGACTCTTTATAGCCTCTATAACACACTTAGTAAAAATATTTGTGTTGTCTTAATTTTAAGTCCAACTCATCTGAATAAAATAACATGTGTCAATTTGTCAAAGATTACCAGATTAAACATTGATACCACTTATGAATGGTGAAATAAATTTCTATTAACGAGCAAACATCAACTAACACTTGACGTAATCTCACAACCTTCACTTACATCCATACTGAGGTATTTAGCCTAGCATGACTGAATGTAAGTGCTTAAAAGTTAAATGACATAAATGAAAATGACTGAATGTAAATGACAAGAAAAGTAAAGAAATATGGAAAGGTTGCTGTAGCAACTGACAATGACGAAGAACACTAAAAAGTACTTGCAAATTAATAATAAAAAGTAACAAGGAACCAAAGGTTTATGAAGCTTTGTTCCTGATGACAATTGTTTCTAAAGGTTACACATTGAATTGTTCAAAGGATTACCCCCATATATGTGTATATACATAGTACCATGAGGGAATCAATAAGGTACAAAAGGGTAATACCCATTGATTATTAACCAATGGGTAAAAGAAAGATGCTTTTAGTACAAGATGCTTTAGTACAAAAGGTTGAGACATCTTGCAGGAGCATCATCCATCTAAATCGTTTGTCAGTAGTACTAGGAGTTGTCTTTCTTCAAAACTTTGGCTTTTCAAATTATTCAACAAGATTGAGCCAGCTGTGCCAATATCCAACGTCCAATGCTGCAGCAACGTATGCACCTGCTACAACAATGCTTATGTCAGCATTATACTCACCAAACTGATAAGACATTACCATTCCTGCATCCTAGCTCCACTAAATGTAAAAACATAAAATAAGACTAGAAGACTCAATATAGGATTGTGAAAGATGTAAAATGAAGTGAAATAAAGATATATCTGGGTGCTAAAGTATATGATTTTGCACACTTGTTAGTTACCGCTTACAAAGAAATGATCAGTTTCTTGCTGTATCTTACAGCTAGCCGACCTGATATCATGTATTCTACTTGTCTTTGTGCACGATATCAATCTGAACCCAAAGAATCTCATCTGATTGCCGTAGAACGCATCTTCAAATAACTTAAAGGTACTCCTAATCTATGACTTTGGTATCCCAAAGACTCAGGTTTCGACTTAATAGGTTATGCAAATAGTGATTTTACAGGTTGCAAGATAGATAGGAAGAGCACCACAGGAGACTGTCAGCTTTTTGGTGGAAAGTTGGTGAGTTGGACAAGCAAAAAGCAAAATTCAGTATCCACATCAACTGTTGAAGCTGAATATGTAGCCACTGGAAGCTGTTGTGCCCAAATTTGTTTGATGAAAAATTAGCTCAATGATTATGACCTTCAACTCTCAAAGATATTGCTATTGCCATTGCAAACAATCCTGCACTTCACTCCAAGACCAAACATATAGAGATCATATATCACTATATCAGATATCATGTTATGAATGGTGATATTGAACTTCACTTCATACCCATTGAGTACTAACTAGCTGACTTGTTCATTAAACCTCTTGATGAAACAAGATTCAATCTTTAAGTCTGTGAACTTGGAATGCTGAACGTTGAGGATTAAACCTCTTACTGCTAAGCATCACTAAGTGTTACAAAGTGAAATGATTCAGTGTTTATTAATCTATCACTGAACTCTTAAGTTAAATGTATCATTCTCTCTAAGACACGTCTACTAATCCCTTCCTTTTTAAAACATAAAACTATCACTGAACACTTTTTTTTATTTAGTGATCAAAATGTTTTAAAAGAGAAAGCTAATGAACGATCATATTTTATGATGTCATTATCGTTTTTAAATAAATGGATGAATTTCACACATGTCTGTCTGACACACGCTGTCCAATACTCTTTCCATAACAATCACTCTCAAAGGACATGTAGAAGAAATCATAATTGCACATCTTTTCGAAGCGTCATTTTTCTCTCTCTTCTTTCTCTCTCATCTCACCTTTGAATACCTCTCTAACCAATTCATTCACTCTTTACGCTATCAAAACTATGCACAAATTCCCTCTATCTTTTGTGCAAAACAAGAACACCAAGAACACTTCTTCTACAAACAAGTTCTTCCTTCTTTTTCCGTTACAGGTTTGTTTTTCTAAATTTTGGTCGTTGATCTTCAAAAAGAATCTTGTTTGTACTTTAAAAACTTTCTTCATATTTTAAATACAAACAATATAAGTTATATAAATCTTTATTTTTCTTACTTTATATCAACTGTGTTTCTTAAAAATCTTCTCAAAAACCTTATTTTTTTTGGTTCTTCAAATGAAAAGTTTATCTTTCAAACTTTTATTCTATAAAGTTTTTTGACGATAACTTGGTGTGTTGTTCCATTTTTCTTAATCTTCTACAAAAATGGCCTCTGCCTCAAATGTTCATTTTGGTATTAAAGAATGCTCCATCAAACCAAACAATTGCTCTTTTGGAGATACCGACAGACAAACCCCACTTTGCGGATGCCACCTCATTACTTAAAAACTGTGTGCTGGGATATGCTCTCACCTTCCAAACTATCCAGGTGAAGGATATCTTGAGATAGTTCTGGTACACCGCCAAGATGAAGACCTCCAAAGGACAAGAATGTGAACTCCATCGTCTAGATCTTCTGTGAGATCAACAACATGACGTTGAGTTTTGTTCTTATAATGGTTCGTTCTACTCT